GTCTTCCAAACTTCCAAAACCCTTATGTGTATGAACGTGTCTGTGCAAACATTGGTTGTTTCCCAAAGCTTTGAAGTTAGCCATGAAAGATTTTCACAGAAATGCCAACCCATAAAAAGGCCAGCCCTTCATCTAATGGAATTTCCCTGTTCAAAACTCTCTCAGAGTGAACAGAAATCAAGCACTGAATGTTCCCCACTCCAGCCCATCTATGAGAATTAACTGAAGTGACACATACAAATAACTTGACCAGGCGGCCAACATATGATTTTTGAAGCTCTTCTGCAGTTCTTTTAATAATTTAAATCCAGCAGTGTTTTAAAAAACAGAAAGCAGAATCTCATAATAGCGTGAGACAATCTCAGCTAAAAGTGTTGCTACCTGAACTATAATTAAGACACCAATTTCCTGTGATGTTCTAAAGCTGTTCTTTTCTCTTGCATTTGCACTAGCTTCCAAATCACTTCTGAGTACAAATTAAAGGCTTGTTTCCCCAGTACCTTACACTTTGCACAGTCACTTAAACATGCATAAAGAGAGCATTAATGGGTATAATTTCCCATTCACTTTGCACAGGTAGAAATGATTCCACAACCAGGAAGCAATGAAGGATCACACCCACTGTGCTGATTAAATCAGTTAAGTACAGGGTACATTCCCCTGGCTATGCTTCCTGGCCCTACTAATTCCCTCTATTGAACCTTTGGGACTTAGGCCAGGACGTGTGCACAGATGGTTCCCCAAATCAGGAATTCACTTCCCCTACTGGCTGACAGAGCCTGAATCCTGGTATGCAAATCACTATATCACACATGTATATTAGGAGGAACTTAATTTCTGAAGCTCACATAGACTACTTTGAGCCTGTGTAAAATAGGATGGAACAGGACTGTTGGAAATACATTTGTAAGGGCTTCCCAAGGTCATGATCACTGAATACTGATGCATGCATCTCATTTTCAAAGTATCTCCTACTCTGGAAGTGACTTAAGATCCATGCACTCTCTCTGTGTGCAGCAGAGACTATTGCCAGCCAAAGAAATACTCCAGTTCCCTTTCAGAGTGCCAGTGTGAGAATGCTGTGCCTCCAGTCAGAACCCTGCCCTACATCTCGTGATCTTCCAAACATAATTGGCAGGAATATACACTTAGGAGAACACATGAGTATTTATACACGAGGATAAACATGACCTGGATAGCATTTTCCTGAGGGATTGCATTCTGGTTTAAATATATCTCACCAAAGAAACTGAATAACTTGGTACTGTATCTTCGGATGGCAAAGACTATGTATATTGACTTTATAGGCACACAAACACTGATATAGAGGAACAGGTATGTGATAAAGATTGATATAGAGGAATAGGAGAAATACAGATATTCAGAGAGAAAAAAGGTCTAAATATATTAAGGATGAGTTATTATGCTCTTCAGTGTAATAAGATTATTTTTTCCAGGGAAATTTTGTATTTCTTTAAAGATTGAAAATTATCTAGGTATTATTTTCCAGACATATGTAACAGTTAGCATGGGCCGTAGGACTGTAAGGTCTCTGGTGAAAGGCTAAGGCTAAGGCTAATCTTCTAATTATGGTGCCAAATGTTAAGTCCTTAAGTATGTTGTCTTACAAAGATACTGCCACATTGCATTATCATTCATTTCTAGAAAAATCCAAAAGTATATTAGTCCTCCAAAAGCAGTCTGGCAGTCTGAGAAGCTTTCTTGCTGCAGTAGACAATATTGGATAAACAAGAGCCAGAGCTCAGGGAAAGAGGATGAAGTAATAATGAAAAGATTATCAATTTGTCAACTGAGGACTAATGAACGACACCGTGCTAAGGATCAACTCGAGCCATTTTTTGCTAAAATAATGTCTTAGTTTGATAGCTTCATGCAGGCATCACACCAGGAGTGAAAAATCACCTGAGGCACAGAGATAATCTGAAAAAATCCAGAGAGTATTTAAGCTGGTCTTAGCTAAAGACCTGAGAAGTCCATGAATGGAGTTGGAAAATAAACCAAATGTGCTTAAAAACAGGGCTGGGGTAAGTTTCCATCATGAAAGGTGTGATTAAAGCAAAGTACTGTCAAGTGCATGTTCCACAGAGGAGTTTATGCATTTGACATTTTGGATGGATGTGTTATGACAACTGATACTAGTTCCTAAACTACACATCTTTGGTCTTGCATTATTTTGTATGCTCAGAGTACTTTCCTTATTCAAAACCTCAGAAAACATGCTATGATATAATTCCAACATCACTTACATAAACTAGGCAATACCACCAAGATACTTCTCTGGAGCATCCCACCCTTTAGTCCTGTTTTCCCTAACTCATTTTTGTCCCAGTTTTCCCCTGGCTGGCAATGGAGTCCCACAGCTGTTCACTCACTGCCCAGCCACCAGCCCTCCCCAGCAGGGAGGAGAATCAGAAAGAAAAGGTAAACCTTGTGGGTTGAGATAAGAACAACATAATAATTGAAACAAATTATTATTATTATAAATATGTGAATAATGTTAATAATAATTGTAACAAATCATCAGTACATCTCAGTTCCCAAAATCCCACCAAAGCAAGGTAAGATATTAACAAAACAACTCTCAGTGGTATTAATATTATTCCTTTCTTTAGCAAGGGTCTCTGGAACACTCCATAACACAACAGTGTCTGCAGCATCAGCAGGCTTTCAGATTAGAAAGCAAAATGTAGTTCACAAGAATTTCTGCATCCTTGAATGACTTTTTGGACTGGTCACCTCCACAGTGCCTGGCAAGTTAGAGTTGAGACTGAAGTTTTCACTTCCCCTGATTTAACTTCTCCATTAGTAGAAACCTTAAAGCTCATATAAAATATATATGGTCTCTTATTTCCTTGTGCTTTCAGTAAAACATTTCCAATTCTACAATGCATAAGAAGTAAGATCTGCCAGAATAATGCTGTGGACTTTGTCTATAAATATCAGGAGCTGACACAGAGTTTCCTATGGATATCATTCTGGAGTGGTTTGAATTTTTTTACACATACGTCATTAGGAAAAAGAGTCCGTTCTTTTGAATACAAGGCAGGAGTGCTGGAACTACCAAAACAGCTGGGCAAAAAGAACTGTCCAAGTACAGGACAAAACAGAGACAGGAGTTACCTGGGATCTTAGACATCCTTCAGCTACTCCAAAAGGCTTCAGAATAAAGCAATAACAGACATAAAACATCTGATTTTCAAATTTCAGTTCTGAGCTAATCTTTTGTACCTTTTTATGTTCTTATGTACATTTGGGTTTATATTTCACCTCTTACTTTTGGTAATTTTTTGTCCCATTAAAGTTATATGAAAGTGAGCATGAAAACAGCTTCTCCTTAAAAATGTTTGCATGGCAGCTACTGTTTCAAAGGAGCTCTAGCATGGTAGAGCAGAAAAGAAAAATTAAATAACAATGCTATTAATAGTATATATGAGGGTGAGTAAATAAAAAGTCAAGTCCCAAAACTGAAAAAATAATCACTTCTCAGGAAGTTAATACATGAAAAGAGATCAAGAATGAGTCATATTGCAGTTTTATGGCTTCAGTTTTACAGTGCTTCTGACGAGTGGTGGTTTCTTATTTTCAGGGTTTCTTGGTATATGAAGGACCTATACATATGATGCAAACTTATCTATGAACTAAGGGGATAATAAGACTAAAGTTATTAAAATTGGTTGCTCCTATTCAGCCATATCTCCTTGTAAACCATATGTATAAAATTTGCCTTTTTTGTGGTTTTGGTTGAGTTATAATATAACTAATTTAAAAACAGTTAATCCCAGGAATACGGACATTCAATTTTAAAAAAATAAAATAACAAAGAAGAACCAGCTGAAGACTGATCTCTGAAGTTTCTTCTGTGGTCAGGTTCAAAGGGATTATTCTGGGGGAAATTAAAATTTTAATTATGCCTGAAAAGAGGGAGCTCAATGTTAACTAAAGGCACTGATCTAAGCAGAATACACATTAGCCACAGAGTCTCTTTGATAACACTGGAAAACTATCTCACTCTAAATTTGCAAATCCTGTCCTCTTTCCATTTGAGACTTCTCTGGGTTGCCTTTCACTGAATTGCAATGAAGTCTTTGTAGCCTGGGGTTCTGTAGTTCCTTTGCTACCAAGATTTCCCAGGAGTGCTGTAATCTGAAGTAAAGATGAGAACTAGGGTTGTTTTGGGGTTGGTTTTGTTTTGGATTGGTTTGGTTTTGGTTTTTTTGTTTTGTTTTGTTTTGTTGTTGAGTTGGGGGTTTTTTTGGCTTAGAAAAGAATACATCAAAAACTGAAGCTTTGCTGTATCCCTGAATCCAGATGGAATTTACTTAATAATTTGAGAGAGGAAAAGAAACTGAAAAGAAAAATCACAACCTATTGAATGGGAATGATGTGTTATGTACACCAGAGTAACTTATACCCTGGTTTTAGGGAGCGCTTAGAAAATGTGGGTTCAAATTATTTTAGAGGAGAAAATACAACAGAAAACCTTCAAGCAAATAAAAAATTTATTACTGACACAGCCTAGCCCTGAAGAATAGTTGACAACATGAGTAATCCAGGGAGTCCATGTGAAAGCATGCAAGGTTTGAGAGCAGAGCTGAGTGTGCTCCCAGGGCCTGCAGAGGCTGGACCAGCACACACCACAGGAATGGCCTGGGCAGCTGCAGGTGGTGAGGGGTGGCCTGGGCAGAAGAAACCTATGCAAGGGAGGTTAACCTGGAAATCTTACAGTAAAGTTACCTAAATGGATCTGCAGGACTGTTTGCTTTCAGAGTGTGGAAAATCCACCAGGTTTTTGAGCTAGACCTGGGTTGAAGAAGATGTATGAATGAATTTGTCATCAGCATCTCTGACGAATCAGTTTTATATATATTTATACACACCCCTCAGCCCCCAGACATGGAATAGGAAAAGCCTAGCTATTTCATAGATAATTTATGATGGGTTTTTAACATATTTTATCTCACTACGCTTTTGTTTTACAGGAGACTATGTAGTCATGTCTGTTTTCTTTAACCTGAGCAGGAGAATGGGTTATTTTACTATTCAGACCTACATTCCCTGCACACTTATTGTTGTCTTGTCCTGGGTCTCTTTCTGGATTAATAAGGATGCAGTTCCAGCCAGAACATCACTGGGTGAGTTGATTTTTTCCTGGTTTTATCCAAGTGTTATTACGTTTAATTGACACCTCTGCAGTTTGTAGATGTAAGAAAAGAGACAATTTCACAAGAACTCTCCTCATTTAGAGGGATGTAGTGATTTCCAAGGAATAACACAGAAAAGCCATATTTACATCTCTTCCTTTTTACTGTGTCAGATTCTGAGTATTGTAGATTGGCAACAATAAAAGCCTTTGCATTTTTTCCAATTCCAGCAGTCCTTTTTCTACCCACCCAGACACTGGGGAATGCTGCTGGATTAGAGGCAGGGACACATTCATTGCATTTGTTCTCACCATGACTGGCAGCACAAATGAAGGAGAAGGAATCCACCCTTCTGGCTGCCTGCATGCCACAATGGTGACAAGGGGACAAAGTAGCACCCTGACTTCTACTTTAGAGGCCAACAGTCAAGTGTAGACTTCAGGCCAAAAAATCAATTTTGTGGTGGTAATAAAAATCCTGCACATGAAAATGTGACATGCAATTAATCAGAATTAGAAATTTCTACACATTTAGCAACTGCTCCACAAATAAAGGGAGACCAAATTAATCTTGCTTGTGCAAAGCAGCTGGAGCTGTAAGAATCAGCAAAGTAGAAACATTCAACTAGAGAAACAAACACATTTTCTACTTCTGCATTAAATCCACACAAGTGAGGATCATTTTAGTTTTTCCTTCTGCATTTTCATTTCTTCATACAGCACAGAGCATTGGAGTGCAAAATGAGGGACACAATCTTCATTCCAGATTCCCTTGAGAGAAACACAAGAATAGAGGAACAGTGGCTCCCATGGCAGAAAGTTTTAAGTATTTAACTGTCTTTTTCACATTCTCACTAAAAAGAGGTTATAAAATCTGCTTTAAAGAAGTAGAAAATTAATAAAGGCATTCAGATACACAAAACACTTATCCCTCTGTTGAGAATTAGTCTATTTGTACCACTAAAAAGGTAAAACCAATGGTATGAAATTTGCCATGTACAATATGATGGATTTTAACTGTCCTAATGCATTTTTAATGTTCTTCACATCATAGTACAGGGAATAATGTTCTGAAAGGGAAAGGCGTGGTGAGGCATGTCACAGTGCTTCACAGTTAAAGACTCTTTCTAGCTCTGTTTAAGAGTTTGAGCACAAAACCTAAATTTTTAAATAAAAATTAAGGCTCCTTAGAAGTAAACTACAAAACTAAAATTGTAAATTAAATTTCTTAGAATCAGAATCCACCTAACCAAAATATTCTACAGAGCAGCACTGGCAGTGGCCATGCAAAAATATCTCACACCCCTGTTAATCCTCTAAGCTCTCACTGAATCCACATTTCCCTGCTGGGATGTACTGTTTAAAATCTCTGCTATCTGCTTGAACTCCAGGCATACTCCAAAACCAGTCCGAGAGAGGTAATTAGCAAAATCAGTTTGTTACTTGAAGTAATAATACTTTTGTTGTTTTCTATCCATCTCCCAGGTATTACCACTGTCCTGACCATGACCACCCTCAGTACAATTGCTCGTAAATCTCTTCCCAAGGTCTCCTATGTGACAGCAATGGATCTTTTTGTGTCAGTCTGCTTTATTTTTGTTTTCTCTGCACTTGTGGAATATGGAACTTTGCATTACTTTGTCAGCAATAGAAAGCCAAGCAAGGATAAAGACAAAAAGAAGAAAAACCCAGTATGTATCTTTTTACCAGCAAGGCCTAAATTCAATTACTTTTTCCTGAGAGAGCATTTAAATCTCTCTTTATAATTGTACTTTTTTTTCATACTTTGCTATTACATATATACTCTTCCTTTGTAATCATAGAAATGCAAACATTCACCTTGAGAATGAAAAGCTCATATATTACAGTTGTCTGCATGCCAGAGAAACTAATTTCTTAGAATAAAGATCCTTTTAACCAAAGTGTTCAGCAAATCACAGCTATGACCAAAGCCATTATTTGTGCCATAGATAGAGCTCTTGCTGTGACTTTTATAGAAGCTTCTCAGTTTCTCTGTCTTAGCATTAACAATATTCTATACCATTAACTTATGTCCATATTATTGACATGACTCTCTTTCTTATTATCAGGACTACAGTTAAACTTTTATATTCAAACTGCAGTGTGTGCTTTTTCTAATCTCCCCTTAAGCATCTGTTTCCATTTTTTCCTTATCTTCTTTTTCTTGTATTTCTCACCTCCTTTACCTACTTCTCTTCCTTAGAAAGTGATTTGGCCAGTAGTTTATGATGATACTTATGGATGCATGCTACCCAATAATAAAAAAATGTATATAATACCAACAATTAAAAAAAATCCTGGAAGCACCCTCAGTAGAGATTTGGGCTTTTGCCCAAAGAGGGAAAAAAGTGTTGCTTATTTTGACCAGGACAGATTTCTCCTTGCCTTTGGCAACTGAACTGACAAGTCTGTTGTCTAGAATCTCTAAAATAATTAGTTTAAAATCAGAGGGGGAAAAGTAGCATAATCATCTACGGGGGAAAAAAAGTGACGAACAAGGGGTTTACATTAAAAGAGAGCATTTTCAAATCCATTTTAGGCATCCAGCAAAAAATAAAGTGATTTGGATTTGCTCTGCTAAAATATTCAAGGACTTTTGAAGATACTCCTTTTAGTTATAACACAGAGCATGAAAAGGATATAGAAAAAAATAACAATTAAAGAACCTTTTACTGCACATTATTCCTGTAATTTCAACTTTAAAAGCTGTTGAGAAGAAGACTGTAAAAAACCAAAATAAAATGATGAAGTGTCCTGTCTTAGGCAGAAATAAAAGGGAGTCTCTGTGCATGCGTGTCTAAGGCAGTCAGGTAAAGGAACAAAATCAGATTCAGCTGTGTCCCTTTGAAGTATCCATATAGGGGCAGATTACTTGTTCTTTACATTGCTTATGTGTGAGCTTCTGGGAAGAAACAGAGCTAGAAATGTTTGCCTGGATCCTAATCACAGAGCCTAAAAAACTTACCAGTAACTCTAGAACTCTACTCTGTTCAGGTCACAGTCTGCAGGTAAAAAGACTTCTTTCTAAATAGTGGTTCTGTAAACTGTGAATGGTCTCTCAAAACAGTTCAGTGGAACAGACTGGACCCTCCTCAGGATGTGAAAATCTAAATGAAGGTTGATGTCTTATGTCCTTCGCCCAGCTGTAGCTACAAGACAGTGACAAGTCAGAGATGTGGGGGTTTTATGCTACAGATACTTGTTTCAATTGCTGTTATCCCAACCTTTCTATAAATCTAGTTCTTTGGACTTACTATGTTTTAGAAACATATTTTTAATTTACATTATTTTTGTCTCTTTCTTTCTTTTCTTTCTTTCTTTAATTTAAAACAAAACCCTCTGATTCTCTTTTCTGTCTACAAAATGAAAGCTTCTTCGGATGTTTTCCTTCAAGGTATAATGTTTTTTGGAATGGAAATTCACTGCATGCGACTGCTGAATTTAACTGTTAGAACTTAGATGAGAGTGGTGTTTTGGTGGGTTTTTTATTAATGAGGCATCTACTAAGCCTCATTCCACTAAGCATTCTACTCAAGGTACTTCCTAATTAAGTAGAATGGTTACATATTTCTAAACAAATTGTAGAGTTGATTCAGCAGCCCAAATACTGATTCACTATTGTTCTGAACTTACCTAAATTCAAGAATGACCAACATTATTGGATCACATGAATTAAGAGAGTTTAATGTTAAAACATTTCTGCTCCTCTCTTTCTCAATTTGCCATGGGATCCAATAGCACCAGCTACCCCACAAACCTGCAATATGCACCCTTTTAGAACTCAACTCTGACCTTTTAACCTTCGTGATATTTCAGTCTAAATTATAAAACCAAATCTGTTCCCATGTTGACCTGAACAAAATTCAGTGTTATCATCAATTATTCAAATGATGATCCTTATGCAAAAAAATTCGGAGTTTTGAAAGGGTTTAAGATGCATATAGATTTTTAGTGTCATCCCTGGATCAACACACTCTTAGCAAATTAGCAACTATATCTAGCTGTGTTCTACATCTAAAACTTATCTCCATTCAGAAATGCAGAGATTTTATTTTAAAAAAAGGAAAAAAAAAAGAAACTACATAAAACAAACCCAAGAAATTTACATACTTATAGAATGGAATTGTTATTTTCCCTAATAACTATCAGCAGAAAATTTCAGTGCCTGTCACACTAGTGTTCACCAAGTGCTCAGATGTGTTTACATGCTTAACTTGCTCAACTGATACTAAATATATATGTGTGTGGAGATATATATGTACAGCTACTATACAAAATTTGGAATATGTCGAACTGCCTAGGTGGTGAACATTAGTAGGTGGTGAACTGCATATATCCAAATAATTGGAGAGTTTTATAAAGATTCTCCTAACCCTATTCAAAAGACCCAGTTTTTTCCTTTATTTCTTGTGTATATGTATTTGCTCCTGACTCAACATAAACCAACGCTATTAAAATCCTGCATTTCCAATTAATTCATCTCCTTCCACGTCCAATACACAAATTGCCTTCAGATATCAAGCAGTTACATAAAATATAAACCAAAAAAGAAATTCAAAATACCACCAAATTCCATTCCTGGATGTTTCATTTAACCTCTAATGTTTATTAGTCTGGCTTTGAAGCCAATTGCCCACAGCCGTTAACTATTGATTTGTGCTGCTTCCCTGTAAAGTTAAAGTGTGTGATACAACCGACTTTAATAAGTTCAAGGCAATATCACCATTAGAACCCCTCAGCTCCCCGTGCCCACACAGACCACCATGCCCACACTGCCCATCAGTGTCCCTCTGCCAGTCGCTCTGGTGACAATAACAGATCCTTCTCTTCTTGCTGCTCCACCTCAGGCACCTACTATTGACATCCGCCCCCGATCAGCTACTATTCAAATGAACAATGCTACACACCTGCAAGAAAGGGATGAAGAATACGGGTACGAGTGTCTGGATGGCAAGGACTGTGCCAGTTTTTTTTGCTGCTTCGAGGATTGCCGGACGGGCGCGTGGCGGCACGGCCGGATCCACATCCGCATCGCCAAAATGGACTCCTACGCCCGCATCTTCTTCCCCACCGCCTTCTGCTTGTTCAACCTGGTCTACTGGGTATCCTACCTTTACCTTTAAGGCAGAAGGAAATCAGTGATATCAGCCTTACTCACTGAATTTCTTAGAGAGATGGTTTCCTAAATTCACTTGAAGTATTTATGATGCGCTTTATAGTGGTCTGAATTCTTTAGTGCCATAATCCCGTAAATATCAGTCATATCATTTGTCCAAAAATTGCCATCTGGTTATTGTGAGTTGTATGTCCATTCCACATGCCAAAAATAATTTGAAAATAAAATCCTATGGACAGGCAATATACAGCTACACCCGCTGGAACAGAGAGAAACGGGGAGCGTAGCAACACCACTCACCAGCTGGTACTGCAGTTTCAAACAGGAGAGGAGAGAGAGGGGAGATAAAGTGCTGTACAGTTGGCTAACATTGGCTATAATTATGCTATAGCTTTATTCTCTGTGGGCTTTTCTTTTTGGAAGAGTCATCTCTCACTTTGAATAGGTATTATTAAGCTAAGAAAGTTAAATTCTACTCCCACCAAGATGAAAATTCCATCCCTTTAAGAGCACATGTACAATGCTGTAAATATTTCAATACCTTGTAGTACATAAAGTCTAGTGCATGCATCTTTTGGGGGCCAAAATAAATGAAAAAAGGTACCATAAAGTTTTGTCTTTTATTTTGTGTCTCTGGATGTGCTATTGTAATTGAAATGTGGACAGAACTTTTTTTTTTCTTGAAAAATTGCCCCTTTCCCTCATGCATGGAAGATCCAAGCAGACAGCACTTTCATGTAAGACATTAGAGAAGCCTTAAGGATTCAAATTAATAACATGTAGACAAATCTGTATGGCCAATATAATAGCTCATAAAGTGTAATGTATGTGTCAGCTGCAGTTGTAGCCTTCATTTGCCATTGATATTTCAACTGAATCTCCAGTAATTACACATTGCAAGATCAGCTTCCGAATTTAATCCATGTGCTTCTATTGTTCTTTTCCTATGTTGAGCTCTACATTTTCCTTACACAAGTGTTTGTGGGGGTCTTTTATTCTTTAAACCAATCCAGGAAATAGCTTTTATTCTAGACGTTATTTTTACATAAGAGCTTCAAGTTAATTTTGAAACATTAGACTTTGTATTATATATACACAAAGAGTTCTCTGCCCATTCATGTCCTTGATCAGCAATAGTTGTTGTCAGTGCTGCTTTCACTCGGTGAGTACCTTTACTAAAACAAACCTTCCCTAGCACATAGATAGCCTTGAAAATGACAGGGAACAAAAGGGTGTCTTGGCTACTAAATCACATGTATGCAGCTATGTGCATTTAAAACCTTCAACCCACCTGGGTGAATCTTGAAAACCTTTTATCCACTGGTTTTCAGAACCTGTATGATTCTCAATTATGCAACCTTTAGCACATGTAAATAAGACTAATCTTTTTTTTTTTTATCTTGTAAAATGTCACCTCCAGGAAAGTGGGCTTGCAGCTTGCAAAGGGAGATCTATAATCTATCATTACAGAATTACTACTAGTTAAAATGGAGGAAAAGGAAAGTTTTCCAATGTTTGTATAGTTTTGGAAATAAAAATGTATAAAAAAGGAATATCTCTATCATCGATTGCTCCTTGTCCAATGTATTTGAAAAAATTTTAATAAAGGAATTGCACACACCTGTGGACTTTTTCAATAAAACTGCTGCACTCAATTCCAGTATTCCTGTGATTAGTTTGTTAAAAGCATGTTTTGAGAACTAGACTGCTGGACTAGTTTGATTCATCAGATGCCTAAATATAAGTGATTATAATCCTCATAATCCTCTGCATTGTCTCATTTTGTAGTCAAATAGATTACTCACATAATTTTCAAGGATTAAGATTAAATCTTTTGAAGGTTATCTTATTCTTAAATGATAATAATAACAAAAGTATTTAAAAATCACTGAATTGGAAGTACTCTAATGAAGAGAGATAACCTTTCTTTATCTACTTAGTCTCCACTACCTGAATGTGTGTCAATCATCTTTCACAAGGAAATGGGTTTCAGTTGGTGACAGACAGATCTCTAATTTATTTTTTTTCCAATAATCAGTGATTTAACAGCTTTCTGTTAGTTCCTTGCAATTAATAAGTGTGACTGATGTTACACATTTAACATTTTAATTTTTACTTGGATTTTTCCTGCTACCAAATAAGTTTTATACAGACCACTACGAAACTCAGCCCATACCAGCCCTTTAATTCCCTCAGCCCAGGTGCATTTTGGTTAACATATTTAGGATTTTTTTTTGTCATGGTCTGTGAAATTAAGGATTCAGAGACACTCAGCATTTTACCCTAGTCCAGGTCAAGTTACATGTGCCTGAGAAGAGCCTGTGACACTGATGTACTGGATGCAGTAACAAGGAATGAATGATCAGATCCCTCACTTGTGCGAGGTGGGATCTCCTTCCAGTAAGGGAGGGGCTCAGTTAAAGACTGATACACCCCCACCTCAAAAACACAAACCACACAAAATGGAAAAGTGTACCACGTCTCCCTAAAGGAGTCGAGTGAACTTTTCTCACCCCCACTCCACAAAATAAAGAAAATAAGCCCTTGATCAGTCATTACCCAGGACCCGGCTCCTGCTCTTACTGAGGTGATTTGTCAGTTCCTCCTGGGGAAAATGGATGAGATTCCAAAGGACAGTTCATGGAGAACCACAGAATTCCAAGTAAGAAAATGACACCAGAGCACAATCTAGTACTAAGTAGATAAGAAGCACAGTGCTCCTCTGAACAGAGATTGTATTAGTTATTCAGCACAGAGCAGAGCATGACCTTTGTATTGTAAAGCCAGGCTGCCACCACAGCAAGCAAAACAGCATTTGGGTGTGATAAGGGTTATTATTCAGAAAAAACTTGCCCAGAAACCTATCTATTCTAGACATTCACACATACATATTATATAAAACATTATGCTAATATATACATTAGACATACTAACTCTCCCAGTTATATTCCAGGGAAGGAACTCGCTCCTGACACGCCAGGTTGCTAAAATGTTTCCAAGCTCATCAGACTGCAGACAGCTATTGCTGCTCTGGGATATGGCTGAGGATGTCCAGATGGTCATTAAAGGTCATAAAGGATACACTAGTGGCACAATCACTTACTTGCTACTTATGTTCCAAGAGTATGCTATGTCCTGAGCAAGACATGGCACTGGTTTTTCCCAGGGATTATACCAAAACAGAACACCCTTAAAGCATTTATAAATCTTTATATATTTATAACATTTAAAAACCCTAGACTGTACATAAAGACCTGGTATTTAGGGAGATACTGTGACTAAAAAATAGTTCTCCTGTTTTCTATGTTAGCCAAACTCAAAGGACTATATTTTAACTAGCCAGTATGGAATAATTTTAGACTCTGTACAGTACAAAATGCTAAAGCTACACACACACAGACACACACAAAGGCAAAAAAAAAATAAATAAATAAAAAAATCAAGAGGTTTTGGGGTTTTTTTAATCACTCATTTCTACCTCATTTTCCCACAGTCACATAAATCTATCAAACATGACTGGATTGGTCTCACAACTGTGTGTAGCAGTTCCAATGACACAGATATAGCAGCAATTATTGGCAGGTATTGGAGGTCCAAACATTTAGACCTTCTTCCATCTGTGCTGCCAAAGCCCTTCAGTCTTGCAATGTGTAGAAAAAAGTATACTTATAAAATATTCAGGCAAATGAATAATGTCAGAAGTGGAACAAGAAAGCTTTGTTAACTGCACAAATGTTAGTGGATAGCATTACTTTGTGTTAAACCAAAAAATGATTGGGAAATATAGTTTTAGATTACCTGCCTTACCACCTAACCTGGGCTTTGCAGGACCGTGGTAGGGATGAGCTGCAAACTGAAAGATGATAAGTAAGGATTTTTTTAGGTTTGCTGAAGCATTTCTCATACTGCAGAGGAAAGGCAGGACTAAGTAAAAAAGTCTCTGTGTGAGAACTTGATAGTTGAGGAACAAAACTGTGGCTCAGCTACGACCCAGAGGCTGCTGAGAACGAGCTGCTCCTCCAGTCTGAGCTGAGAACTAATCAGAGACACATAAAGAATTTGCACTAAAGAGGCAGCCCAGAACAGCAAGGTAAGGAGAGGAATTCAGAGGCAATAGGATCCACAGAAAATAATTTCCAAGGCCAAAATAACGAAGCTTGCAGTTCTCTGAACTTAATAGGACACGTTTAGAGTTCAGGCTTTTAGTGATGCCATGGCAGAAAGCTGATGTTACTTGGAAATTAATAGCTACATCCAAGATAAGGTCCTCATTAAAAATAAAGCTTGTTCATGGGCTTCTGGAGTTGAAAGTATAAAACCTGTTATTTTAAGCTAAGAGATCATCCAAGGCAGAATCCCGTAGTAAGCATGAACATAAGAAAAAAGTAAAAATACAAAGAATCTATCTAAATGAAACTTAATTACACCCCAGGGGAAAAAGCAACACTTTAAAATGCAAGTGTTGTCTTTCAAACAAGATTTCGGTCACTTTGCTGAGAATTCAATTAAATCTTATGAAAAGCTTCACAGATAAATCAGTTTATTATACCCATGAGAGATCTATTGTTTCTTTCATAAGAATTAAAAGCCAATGCACTTTGCCTCCCTATTTAGGATTCTGTAGATGAAAAGATTTAGACTTCCTATTTACGCATTACTGAGTTTTTCTTTTTAAAGTCAAGATTTACAATGAAAAACATACCTGTTGAATATGCAAAAGAAAGCTCATGACCTTTAAAAGATCCTGAATAACAGACATGAACTAAAAGCTTTGCTTACAAGTCAGCAAACACATTTGACAAATACATTTGAATAATTCATTCCAGAATGTCCAGAATGTCAAATTACCTCACAAAAACATATTAAAAAAGGTTGTCTTTCTTGAGGGGGAAAAAACCCAACACAGTATGTTAGACTGAGTAAGATATTCTCATTTGTACTCATATAAAATTCATATTGATTATCAAAATGAGAAAAGGGAAAACAAGAAATACGAAAATATTAATATAGCTGTAATTCAGCCAGTATGAAAAACATTAGAAATACTGATCTTTCCACCAGACACATGCTTTTTAATACTGGTATATTGAAGTGTATATCTGATGAGATTTAATCAGCCATCACTCTCTTTAGAATTTTCTGGTATATGCTATAGGCCTAACTATAGAGTCAATCATTTTGCTGTGAGAAAAACCTGCAAAAAAGAAAAAAAACTTTCTCCAAAAAACTCCAAATCAAGACTTCTCATTTCATTCCTAAAATGAGATACAAGCACATAGAGACATCTATCCAGCTAATATATTTACAAGATGTCTATAAAAATAGCAATTGAGGCTATAAACTACTTGAAAGTCAGACAGACCTGCTAGAGAAGATTTAGCATAGTTGGATACTTTGCTGTATTAAAGAACCAAAAAACCCCCTGTAGATTTACCATGCCTTTATTTAAAAAAATAAATTTATGTCTTCATGTTTGTCTTCACATACCAATGCATAAGAATGCATCAGACTTCATTTCAGTGTTTCCCTTAAGACTAGAAGGGAAAGACTAGATCGACAGTTTTAGTAATTCCATGGTCTTAAAAATCTGTTCAGATTTCAGAAGCTTTTCTGCTTGTCATTCCTGTTCTATTTATACCAGTGCTCCTTAAACTGCTGCCACAGTGAGATTTCTCATAGAAAAGGGCCCTTTAGTTTTGCTCTTTGCAGTTCCTTCGCCCTCACTCCCGCTCACCTGAAGTTGGTACCTTTCCTGCTAATTTAGCAGTGTTGGGTCTCTCTTGCCCATATGCTTCTGTCCTACAAACCTCCATCCCCACAGATTCCCCCAGATGAGTGATCCCATTTCAACTCCAAAAAATTAATGTAGTTTGAAAACTATTACTTTTAAAGAAACTAAGTGATGTCACAAAGTTAATGGCCAAAGCTGCAGAACCACATTTGAACCTGGGTGAGCAAAAACTGCCCCAAAGCTGCAGAACCACATTTGAACCCGGGTCAGCAAAACTGCCCCAAAGTT